CGCCTGTTGGCGTTTTACCACGCAGGCCTTTGCATCAAACGCTCCTCTCGCAATTATACTGTGGATGGACGAAATCCTGCACCACCCAAGAAACGCTGGAATTGTGATTCCCCCGTAAATGCCACAGAACCATGGGTTTCAAACCATGGTGTCCAAGTGGTGCGAAGGGATTTCGCCCCTCGGGATACATTCCTATCCCGGATCCATATGTCGGACGGGTTCAGCCGCCAGGCGGTTTGTTGCAACCCCTGGGTCCTGGAGTTTGTGCCGGAGGCCTTCAAGGCGCGCGGTGCCGGCGCTGGAGTCGTCGGTTCGTGTTTTTGTCGCACGCCAGCATAGGTGTCCTTGTTGGTTGTTTTGCCAGAAAAATAGATGGGGTGTCGATTCCTGGTTTACCTGGCGGTTTAATCATCTACCAGGGAAATCCATCTGGTTCCCCTAAAAGGACACCTATGGTCGCTGGGTGAGCATGAGCATTTGGGAAGACTGGACCATCCAGTCACAGCAACTTATCAAACAGCGAATGGCATTTGTTGTCCTTCTGCCAGTCAAACGATGTTATTTTGACATATGTGGGATGGTCAGAGACTGAACTCACTGCGCTTTGGGAGAGCATGGGTACATTTGCCGTGTTTGGAACTGGTCCCTTTGTTTGTGGGCTTGCCCCTTTTCGACACGTGTGCAAAATGGAAGCCGGCTTGTTGACACCCCCCCCCCCACCCCACTTGCGTGTATGTGTTCGCACAGAGCCATGGGTCATTGACCTGACTTGTTTGCGTCTTTGCTCAAGAATAAATCACAATTCTCAGAGGTCTCTAGTTTGAGACTGATAACTCATATGGCGATGCATGCGTTCCATGCTTTTGGTTATGTCGGGATAGTTTATGGCCATGCGCGCACAGAAGGCAGGTGAACTCTTGTGAGCGAGACATCAACTCCGTCATGCGACCACTTGCCATAGCGCACGTCACCGCAGAGTCACTGCTTCAAAGTGTGTGTTTGTCATGTTGCATCTTTCAAGTGGGCAGACTGGAACGCACACTGATTCTCCTACGCCAAAGACAACATGAAAGGTTGAAATTGATTGATGCAACAAGCAGGTGGCACAGTGGAATGTGTTTCTTTCTCGAGCCATCACTCAATTCCACGACGCAAAGGAAGCTTCTACGTCGGGGTGAACCTCCTGAACAAAATCAAAACCAAGCCGAAGTCCACTGTAAACTCAACTAACCCTTGACCAGCCGCAGCCGCCCTTACCCCCAAACACTTCACGGAGAACGGAGATGGGTGTGAGGCCGGGACCGAATCCACCGAGTCCACGCAGGAATGCGGGCCCCTATTCCACAGGGGAGGGATGTTTGGGGCGGGGGGGGGATGCTTGATGTGCTTCAACAGCTGGAAGCTTTGGGGTCTTTGCCCAAATACGCTCTGGGGTTCGGAGCGGGTTTCAGGTTCCGGTTGGCTCCTGTGAGCAGAAATCTGACCAGGACTTATCTTTTACTATGCGGGTCTTGGTTTATTCATGTTTTCTTTGATGTGTTGTTGTGTTTTGTTTTTCTGGTTTTATTGATTTATGTTGTATATATATATATACATATATATATATACACGCACATACACATATTCATATATATATATGTACTCAGGTTTTTTTTATCTTTATTTATGTCTTGTTTGTTTCACCTTGTTATTGTTATTTATTGTGTTTCATCTTTTAGCCATTTGGTGTTTTTGTTTGTTGGTTTGTTTTCTTTGTTTGTTGTTTGTCTTGTGGTTGGTTGGTTTAGCTTCTTTTCCCATGACTCCGGCTGAGGCGCAGCCGGAGCTGGTGGCCGCCGCGGTGGCCGCGGACGGCGCCGCGCTGCGCTGGGCGCCCGCGCTGCGCGGGGAGCGGTGGCTGGCGCTGACCGCAGTGCAGAGCCGAGCGGCGGCCATGGCGCACGTAGGCGGGCCGAGCTGAAGTCAGAGGCGGTTTTTGAAAAGCGACTCCACAAAAACCCACCAACACCCCGAGAAGACACAACGCAAGAAACAAGAGCTGGTTTTTGCTGCTGGTTTTGTCGGTTTTTGTTGGTTTTTGTTGGTTTTGGTTGTGTCGGTTGTGGTTGGTATTTGTAGAGTCGGTTTTTGCTGGTGCGAGGCAATGAGGGAATGAACCTGGGGATTGAAGTCTTCGAAGTTGGAACCCAAAGGGGCTACAGTACCCTTGGTTTGCTGGCTGGCGCGATAGGTAGGCAATGAGGGAATGAACCTGGAGACCAGTCGGAGTCGGTTTTTGGGTTGCTGGCTGGTGTGATAGGTAGGGAATGACAATTGGAATGAACCGTTGCGGGATTCCCGAAGAAAGGAAACCAGCGGCTGGATAATTTATGTTCAGTCCCTCATTCCCTGCACCAGCAAATTTGAGTGGAGGGCAATGACCAAACCAAGGTTTGGTACCTACCCAATGATTTTCAATGATTGGTTGGTGCATGTTTGAAGTGTGAGTTGGGTAAAGATTGATACCAACCTGAAAAGCTGACCTCGTTGACTTTGGTGCATCAACTCCCCAAAAAACTCGCATACCTCTTGGTGGGGTCAACAACTCCCCATTTCGTGCGTCAAAGAGGAGATCTGGGATCTCGATGCAACCCAACGCCTTCAGACCCGGAGCTGCTCAGCGACCGAAGCTTCGTGCTGGAGGCGGTGGCCCTGCAGGGCGCCGCGCTGCAGCACGCGGCGCCGTTCCAGGCGGATGAGGACAGATGCTGGCGAGCTCGAACATTCGTTTGTTTTGTACAAACCGCGTAGCCTGAGAAAAAGTCGGGCTACCAACGGTAACGGTAACGTTGTTTTTGGGACCCTGAAAATGGTTTCGGAAGTTTCTACAAGCAGCGGACCCTTCAAAACAATAAAGGACCGTTTTTTCCAGGAAGGGGGGTCCCTACCATAAGTTTCTGACAAACGGTCACGGTTTTTTGGGACCCTGAAAATGGCTTCGGACCTTTCTGCAAACCTTGGAGCCTTAAAACTTCAAGGTAATTACCAATTTTCAGGAAACACTACCCATTCTGCGGTACATCCTGTAAAATTGGGGCTGTTTGTTTTTGGTTTCCCTTGAAACCAAAAGTGGGTCCAAGTCCGCAAATGGTGATGAGCGCCCCAGGCTCAAGTGGCTCACTTTCCCATTGGTTTGCCTGTCATGATTACGGTTCTTTGGGAAAATACTGACTGGGGTCTCCCTTTCGCTTGCCCAGGTGGTGCTTTTGAAGGATCGCCATCAAACTTCACACCCTAAGCTCCAAAATACCAGGCTGTTTGAAAGGGACACCAAACCACCCGGGTCAGAGGCGTCCCAGTTCCTTGCTCAAATGGACCCGTTCTCGAAAGGGACTCGGGGCTGGTTGGCTTTGTTCCCTCCAACAACAAGACCCTTGGAGCAACACCCAAAGGAGCCATGCACCAAAAAGGACATATGGTAGAAGGTTAGGGGTCGTCCCAACCACAAAGAGTTGCGGAAATCTCTTCTACGCATGATTTGCGATGCCAGAATATTGCCAGGTTGTAATGGGTGATGTTAAGAGGTTCTACTATGGGGATTATAGTCAGGCCTATATTAAAGCATGACCAAGCACGAATAGTCAATGGGTTTGTGGCGCCCCGATCGTTGCGTCTTAAAGATGGGACCTCCATGGTGGTTCCTTTGGTTTCCTTTAAACGCCACCCCGAAAGAGGTATTCCAAACAAGTCTGCCGAATGGAAATCCCTGACACAGGTGCTGTCACTTGGCTTCAAAACCCAACAGGGTATCGTCAAGCAAGACGGAGGCAAATGGGACTTGGGATTGCTTTCGATTTATGGCATTATCATGATTAGGATCATCTTTGGGGTCATCCTTCTGATTTCTCTTGTTATTTTCATTAAGATTGTCAATGCTAGCACGACTCATGTTTCGGAATGCCTACAATTGTTGGTAAAGGACACCAATGGCAAACCTCATGTTTCTAGGTAGTGTCAATACCCACAGCACGTGCGGTTCGCCCATAGCCACTTTGCTGCACTTTGTAGCAAGACGAATGCTGGAATCTGTTAGCCATACTTTTGTATCATCATTGGGATGTCCAGTTGTCAACCAGGACCTAGTGCTGCAGGCGCTGCGTAGCGACATCTCCGCGCTGGACTACAGCCCGCTGAAGTGCCAGCGGCGCTTTGTGCTGCAAGCGGTGGAGCTGAGAGGCCGGCCACGGGCCAGAGGTTGGTTCGGGTTTCGCAGCTAGGTCCTGCAGTAGTGCCCTTTCTCACCCCTTTTTTGGTTGGGATGGTTCCCCTACTAAAATAGACTACAGAAAAAAAGTTGGTACCCCCATTCTAACCTCTCTACTGGAGGACCTAGACAGAAACCAAGACTAAGAGGAGTTTCCACAAGTTCGTCAGCCAAGGGCTTGGTTTTTTTTTGTATTTGTAGCTGGTTTCTTAGGGAAACCATGGGGGATCCTCAATTTTGGAGGGTAGCCGAAAGCCTCAACTTGAGACTGGCGAGATACTAGTAGTTCCCTTTAGCTTTCCCTTCAAACCATTTTCGGGAAACCACCCATTGGAGACCGATGGCAAGGGGAAGCCAAAAGCGAACCAAGGGAAACCAAACTTACTGCTTCGATTGCGAAAGTTTCATGTGGGAATGAACTGGATGGAATTTGTTTGGAAAGCCATAGGGGATGGTTAATTTCGGGGTCATTGCCTCATTCGCTGACCAGAAAGAGAGCTCATTGGTGGAACCGTGTGCCGCGTGACCCATTGCAGCCAAAATGCGTCTCAACACGGGGAAAGCCCCCAAAGTTTGAGTTTCCCGCCAAACACAGAGCAACAAAGAAACCGCTACCCTCAACAAAAAGACCCCGCCCCACCCACATCCAGGAGTCCATGGTCAATTCTGTTTTCTGGACGTCGGAAACTTCCTAATTGTCCTAACACAGGGTGACTTACTAGGCGTCTTGGTAAGCTCATAGTTTAACTGCGACCTGTTTGTGCTACAATCCCCTAAGTCGGACAAAGTTTATTTCGGCTTCCATTGTGATTCCCTCGTTTTCCTCGAAGCAACACACCTTGAAATGGATAGTGCATACATGCTCCCGACCCCAAGTTTACCACCAACACCATTTGAGCCAAGTCTGTACCTCCGCATGCAGCTTGAGGCCGTATTTGGAATCATTCCCATCCAAGCGGCTGTTGTTGTGATGGCTTGCACGGTTTTGGGTATACTCTATTGATACTTGGCCTTCGCCAAGACTCTGCCCTTTATGCCTTGATTTCATCAGAGGTATTCTGTTTCAACGGCTCGGTTTTGGGCCTCATTGTTTGCAAGTCGTAAATCGGACATTATATATTTGGTCAGGGAGTTGAAGTGGTCTGGGAACTTTCTCCAGTGTTGCCAGTTTGCCTAGTCTTGCTATCTCATTGACAACGGGAATGTGCCAGCTGATGCTGTCAGAGGTGGACCAAACAGCGTTCCGACACCTAAGGTAATGCATACGGCCACCGACCGATTCTCCGACAATTGAATACGCATTGATACGGTCAGAATACCTTAAGAGTTTGCTGTGAAACCAGATGGTCCCCCCAAATGAGTGAGATCAGAATGCGATAGTGTTGCAGCACATTTGCAAGCGGGAAAGCATAGGAAACACAATGCGCTGCAAACCGAGATGTCCCGCTCGTGTTGCTTCGATTGTGTTGTACAACGAGTCTAAGCGAGTCCAAAACGAGATCAAACCAAAGTTGGCCTTGCGGAAGCCAAGAGAATCAGCCAGTTACTGACATGCATTTTATCTAATAATATACATATATATATATATATATGTACACATACACATTTGGTATATGTCAAGCACGCACGTCGTACATCTGTCGCTCGGTGTCTGCATGGCCCTATGCCTTTCCGGAGGCCTCAGCCTCCAGTTTGTGGCAGAGCTGCAGGAGGACAGGGAGGTAGTTCTGGCGGCTTGGAGCAGATGGCTCCGTGCTGGAGCCTACATGACCCTAATGGGCCGTTTCCCCAGTTGGGTAAATACTTTGGGCGGTGGTTTCAGCGTCACGGTGACGCTGTGTGCTCAGAGCCGACACGTTTGGCTTCCCTTTAGCTTTGGGTTTAGGTGTGCTGTTTCGGTGTCGTGCACCTCTTTTCAAGGGCCATGGAGACTCCAGGTAGGTGTTGTTTTGTCAGGGACGAAGCGTTGATTCCGTTGCAAGTGGACCAAGAGCTAACCCCTGATAAACGAGAAAAGGGGCTTCGGGAGGTGTACCCGTCTTTTTTCTGGGGACTTCGGGTGCTTAGCTATCCATGTCAATGTGTTCTCCTTGTGGTTCCCAAATTCATGTTTGATAAGCATGTTCTCCGAGCAAACAGCATCCGACTGCCACTTTCATGTCCCCGAGGCAGCGGTGTCGTCGGCGGGCCGGGCGCTCGAGTTCGCAAGTCAGAGCCTGCAGAAAGATCAGGAGGTGGTGTGGCGGGCGATTTGCCAGGCCAGGTGTGCGTGGTGCCTTCGAATGCTGTGGGAAGCGGGAACATGTTGATGCAGCCCACCTAGTTTTTTCTGAATTCCACAGAGGCCCTAAGATCCTTTGTGCCATTTTCAGATTTGAGCACCCACCTGACGGCCCAGACGGGCCAAAAAGCGCGTTTTCACGCGCCATGCGGTCTGCAAGGACCCTTCTGCGCTGGACTTCTCACCGCTGCGGGAGGACAAAGCCTTCCTCCTGCGCTGCACGAGCCGCCCGGCGGCGTTGGCCCACGGCTCACCAGGTGCGCACTGGGCGTCAGTTGCGGAGTGGCGGAGCGGAGGATCTGCGCAGCAAGTGGCGACCTTTAGCCCGTCAAACGGAGGCGCTCGTGTTGTTGTTTATGTATTCATCAGCGGTTTGGGATAGCCTGCCTGAGCGCATGCAAGGTCAGACGAAGGAGTCGCCTTTTTTGTGGCCGTTTTGCGTGGCCAGATAGTTTACGCTTGCGTGGACAGATGCTGAACCCTCAACGCTGACCCCCTGATCTCCCTCCTGAACTTGGCGCCCAGGACCAAAACAAGTTGCCTCACGTGGACCTTGCTGGAACACGGGCTTTGAAAATGGACCGAACTTGACACGTGCGAGAAAAAGTCAGATATTGCCTCAAAAAAGGGACTCCTCCATAAAAGGGACTCCTCCTAAAAGGGACTCCTCCTTAAAAGGGCCTCCTCCTTAAGAGGGACTCCTCCTTAAGAGGGACTCCTCCTGAAAAGGGACTCCTCCTTTTGGCTCTGAAGGTAAACCAACCAGAAAACCGGCCATAGGTCCCAAATCTTGAGGACAAATCCAATAGGCAGATATAAGTCGGACATGAACCTCCAGCAAGGACTCCGGAGACTTAAATTCAAACGTTGCACTAATCCACGCATGTTCGATCCCAGGTTTTTCTGTCGAAGCATTGACAATGGATGCCTATACTCAATGCAGTGTCAAATTTAAGATCCAACCTTTTTTGATCGAATGTCCAGCATGCGACACTTAAAGTGTATCGTTGTTCTTCTTAGCTGGGCAGTTTGTCCCGGGTGCCCAAGGGCGGGGCCCCGAACCAACATTTTTGTTTGTGTTTGTTTGATAAAATAAAGCTAAATAAAAGAATAGCAAATAAACAAGAAAGCGAGTCGAGGACAAAGCGCCAAAGCGCCGCATATTCAACCGGGGAAAATTTCAGGGTGGCTTACCTTCCCACCTCGTCCTCTAGTTGGCAGGACGGTTTCCTTCAGCTTCCTCCAATTGGGTGTTTGGAGCCGCGGTGGTGTGGTGGGCACGGGTAGTTTCCCAGCTACCCTCAAGAAGGAGGGGTTCAAACCCAAATCCACACCAATCTAAAGCACCAACTAGGGGATATGTTTTTGTCAGGTACCCCCTAGTTGGTGATTTGGATTGGTTTGGGGATTTACAGCCCTGGTTCTTGTAGGTTTAGGAGGAAACCACCTCCTCCTTGCACCAACCAGGGGATATCTGATTTCCTGTTGAGCGGTGCCAGGCCTCTTGTCCGAGAAGGCCTTCGCCTTCGCCCTGCTTGCCCAGGAAACCACACCACGTGGTTGCGCGGGGGGGGGATTTGGAGGGGACCGGGGGGGGGGGGGGCGAAGGATGGGGGACATGACTTGGGAAACAAGAGGACACCATGGACTTCTCAACTTGAGTCAGCTTGCTTTCCGGCTTCTTTGTTTTTCGCGGGCGTTTGATGGCCATGACATGAGCCATTTGTTGGTCAAACAGTTGCGCCGAGTTCTCAGAGTTGCAGATTCTCGTTGCCTTTAGTTCCCGTTGCAGGTAGCGGGAAACGGTGCCCATGGCCTGGTTGTTTCAGCAAATGGGTGTGTCTTTTTCAGGGGACCCACCCAAATTGCATTTTTCCTGTTCAGTTTGGTTTCCTTTGAAACAACACAAAGGGGCACTCTCAAGAAAAACACACCCCAAATTGTGCCGAACCCTGATTGAGCGCCATCTCGTCTCCTTTTGTTTCCTCTCAGGATGCTCGAGCGATCTTCGGGCTCCTCTCGAGCGATCTCCAGCGGGACCAACATGTGCGGCTGCACGCGGCAGCACTGGGGGCAGACCTGAACGAAGGCGCACTGGTGGGGGACGTTTCGACTTCCGAGTTTGAAAGGAACAATTTAGTGGTGGATAGTGAGAGCCTATACAAACCTTTATAAATATATTATCATTGTGGCTGAGCAAACAGACTAACGAATTTGGACGCTGCTGGCTTGTTCGACATGTCCACGCAATCCAGCGGATGGATATCTCAAATCTCAAGCTTTTGGGCTTTGTACAGCCGTATTTGTTCATGACAGTCCAACTCAAGAAGTGAAACAGGTGCCCCGAGGTCCATCAAGTTGGATTTGGGGCCTAAATTTGGCCAAGTGACCCATGAACATGAATGAACATGCCATAAAGCACGATAGTAGGCCACCGTCTAACTGTTTCCTTTCTATGCCAGCATGATCGGAAATCGACATCGACGAGGCGCAGTTTTGTCGCCAGCACTTTGATCTGGAATTCCAAGGGCTGCCAGGGTTTAATGTTTTTGTTGTGGCCAAAAGTTGGCAAAAAACAAACAGCGTGTGCCATGTCTATAGTTAGCTGCTACCTCCTTGGCTTAAAGGGAAACCTACAGGAAGGCGACAGTTCTGAGGGTTCGCAGGCTTCAGACACATCCTAGATCAGCAACTGCATTTCAATCCAAGTTTGGCAATGCAGGGGAGATCGAGCAGACGGGAAGACCGCGACAGATGGCTTGCATCTTGAATGGAATGCAAAGGGGGAATGAAAAGCTTGCATTAGAGGTGGCTCAGAGTGAGACACACCAAAGCAGAAGAGAGGATAAATGGAGGAACAGGATGACAGCGCACGTGGGGCGGGACCGCGCAGAAAGCCATGTGATTTGCCCCTGATTGTGGAAATGCAATGCATGTCGTACCGTATTATTTCATGTAGCAAAATGCACATCGTCTTGCTAATTGACCCATGAATCCTCATTTATAGGCGCTTGGGAGACTTGAACGCCAAACCATGAGCATGTGGTTTTGTGTTTTGTGATTTCTGCAGTGGAATAGGGGTTTGACTCTTTGCGAAATTTGACAGCTAGTCATTTACTTTGGTTGGAAACTCGAGCGACTTCCCTTGTCGATTCTTTACGTTCACCTGCGAGTTGCACTTCCGCTCTTTGGGTTTTTGCTGGTCAGGGAGGACTAGCCCACATCTTTTGAAACGCAGAGGGTGGGTCCCAACACCCAAAAGACCAGCCGTTTCTCGCCACAGCCCAAATAGGCCTTTGGGGAGCGGAGGCAAGGAAGCTTCATCTTCGAACCTTTTTAGGCGGCATCCCTCATGCGCCTTCCCTCAATAAGGCCTGTCGAGCACCTTTGATGGCGGTCTTTGGCACCTTTGCACAGGGCCGGAGCTACAGCTTCAAGCTCATTCGAAAGGAAACCAGCAGAGGGAGCCAAAGTCCCTTTCGGTGCTTTGATTTGTAGGCTTGTTCCGAAAACTGAACAGCACAAAGCATGCCAGTACGCAAACAAAGGCATCGCACGCACCAAAAGCCGGTGTTCACTGAAAAGTCAGAAGCAAATCACCACAGCAGGATCTAGGATTTGGAGACATCCCCTTGCGCCTTTCTTGTTGTTTGGGTCCGGAGGGAGGTTGGCTTCCCATGTGCTTTTTCCACGTGATGCTTGCTTGCTGCTTCGAGCTGGCCACAAGTTCCGCCAGGGGTCGAGGAGGTGTCGCGGCTTCGCTCAGCGCAGGGCATGGTGAAGCGGCATCCCACGAGCAGGCCGGGTGATTGGGGGCAGGGGGGTCTTTTTGCGACCTTTTGCGAGAAAATGGCCGACCCCCTCAAAAGAAAGTCCTTGACTACGAGGGAGTAATTAAATCAACTGTCCACAAAAGGTGGCAAAAGACCCCCCAATCAGGGGGAGGGTGACCTGCTGACGTTCTGGTTCCATTGTTGGTTGGGGAATTGGGGGACTCCCCTACCCCTTGACAAATTGGTAAGCCTCAAGCATTTCTGCGCCAGCATTTCGCACTTTTGAGTGACAGGCAAAGCCATAGCAACTGCCAATTTCACGCAGGCAGAGCGTTCAAGGCATTCAAAGTATCTGATCTAAGAAGGCACAGGCTGTTTGACTTTGACTGGTGGACTTGTCAAGCCCAATGTACCAGCGACGAGCTACATGATCCATTGCACTGAGTCTAACTGCTGGTAAGAAGCTCCTTGTAAAAACTCGCAGTCTTCTCCTGACCGCGGTTGTGTCGTGCTATGTGTGTGTGTTGCCTACGTGTGAGTGTGTGTGCCTATTGCACTTGTATGGCATGTGTGCTTGCTTTGCTGGCCGGTCGCTCTGTCGCTCGATCGCTTGGTCAGTTGGTTGGCAATTTGATCGATTGGTTGAGATACGTGTGTGTGTGTGTATATGTTGTTGTTGGTTTGATTTGGAGGGTTTGGTTCGGCATATTTTGCTTGGATTGGCTTGTTTGGTTGCTTGTGTGCTTGCACGTGTGCCTTTGTGTGCTTGTTTGCTTGCTGGCTTGCTGGCGTGCGTTTAGTTTGTTTGCTTGTTTGTTTGTTTGTTTGTTTGTTGGCTTGTATGTCAGTTTGCGGGTTGTTTGCGTGCTGCGTTTGTTTGTGTGTTTGTGTTTGTTTGTTTGTTTGTTTGTTTGCTTGCTTGTTTGCTTGTTTGCTTGTTTGCTTGTTTGCTTGTTTGCTTGCTTGCTTTGCTTTAGCTTTTGTCTTTAGCTTGCGTTGCTTGCTTGCTTGCTTGCTTGCTTGCTTGCTTGCTTGCTTGCTTGCTTGCTTGCTTGCTTGCTTGCTTGCTTGCTTGCTTGCTTGCTTGCTTGCTTGCTTGCTTGCTTGCTTGCTTGCTTGCTTTGATGCTTGCCTCCTTTGATGCTTGCTTCCTTTGATGCTTGCTTCCTTTGATGCTTGCTTTCTTTGCTTTGCTTTTCTGTGCGCTTTGTTTTGCTTTTGTTTGCCCTTTGCTTGCTTGATTGCTTGCTTGCTTGCTTGCTGGTGTGAATGTTTTATTGGTTGTTTGTTTGTTGATAAATTTATTTGTTTGTGTGTATGTGGTGTTTGTGGTGTTTGTGGTGTTTGTGGTGTGGGTGGTGTTTGTGGTGTGGGTGGTGTTTGCGGTGTTTGTGGTGTTTGTGGTGTTTGTGGTGTTTGTTGGCTTGCTTGCTTGCTTGCTTGCTTGCTTGCTTTGCTTTGCTAGCATGCCTGCCTGCTTGCCAGCCTGCTTGCTTGCTTTCTTTCTTGCTTGCTTGATTGGGTGTTTGATTTAGTGGTATGATTGTTTGTCCGTTCGTTTGGTTTTGTTTGTTTGGGTGTTTGCTTACTCGCTTGTTTGTTTGCTTGTTCGTGTGTTCGTGCGCGAGCTTGTTTATGTGCTTGTTTGTTTGCTTATGGTTTCTTTGGTTGGTTGTTTCTCTTTGTTTGTTTTTCTGTCTGTTTGGTTGTTTATTTTGTTTGTTTGTTTGTTTTTTTGTTTGTTTGTGTTTTATTTGTTGATTGTGTGTGTGTGTGTGCGTCTGCACGTTTGTGCGTGTGCGTGTGTTTGCGTTTATTTTGGCTTGGTTTTTGTTGTTGTTTGTTTGTTTGTTTGTTTGTTCGTTCGTTTGTTCGTTCGTTTGTTCGTTCGTGTGTGCTTGTTTGCTTGTACGTTGATGTGCTTGTGTGCTTGTGTATGTGCTTGTGTTGTCTGTATGGTTGTGTTTACGTTTGCGTTTGTGGCGCTTACTATGCATGTGTATGTGGCGTAACTCGAGAAGCGGATATGATATCTAGAAGGATGTCATGATTCCGTTGGGTTGAGATTGTCTGGAACGGTTTCACAAGTCGGCAAGACGCTGGTTGTGACACATGAGCAGCTCTAAAAACCCCCCGTTACATGCCAAGCAAGAGTTGTGTCATAACAAGGCCCCGCGTAAGCAAAAGCCCGCACGGCGTAAGCGGGCGTAAGCACTTTTTGGGGAAACATGTTGCGTAAGCACCTGCGTAAGCTCTTCTTCGTGATTGCTTGGTAAGCTTTGTAAGCATGCTCGGAAGAGTTGTCCCACATGTGCTTATGCGTTTTTTGGTGGCTTGTGCTGTTGCAACCTAGCCGAGCTTGGCAACTTGCCCGGAGGACTTTGCCTGCAGGAAGACGTCTAAGACCGCATGTGCGCACCATTAGGGGAAAAAAACAACAAGCAGAACTTTGATTGGGAGCTCTTGGGGCTCATGCTAGTTGCTGTCGCAACCTCCACTAGGACAACCAAAGGCTTCAGTAGCCGCTGATTTAGGAAAACTACAGGGGCGCGGGCGCGTAAGCTCGCACAAGCAGGCGCGTAAGGTTCGCGTAAGCTCGCCTAGCTCAGCTGCTCGCTAGCCCTCGTGACGGATGCCGCTACCGCAGAAACCGGTTTCTTGATTTGCAGCAAAAACAACAACGCCAAGCTGCTGAAGCTCGCGAGCGCAGTTCTTCATCATCTCTTCCACACAGTCATCCACATCATCTTCAACAGTTCTGGCGGCTGCACGGGAAAAGAAGCCCGCGTAAGCAATTCTTGAGGGGAAACGCTCAAAACGCCGACGCGTAAGCGATGCGTAAGCTTTACATGCTGTCTGACTGCCGCGTAAGCTAAAACATGGGTCGCGTAAGGAAAGCGCAAGCTTGCGCGTAAGATCGCGTAAGCAACTTGATACGACATAGGGATTCATGGGAGGTTTATAGAGTCGCTCACATATCTAACTGCGGCATCATTGGAAAGCGACCTGGACACTTGGTGACTTGATTGCTCCGCAGCACCCTTCATTGGCAAGCGTTCTCACTGCAAACTGTAGGTACCATGCCTTGCTTTGCGTCGCGTTGGAACATAGCCGCTGTTTCGCCTGGATTTCGCAGCCGTCCCTTACTGATCAGAGATGAGTATTTTTGGAGGTGGAGACAAGTTTCCACAAGGGGAGTGTTCAAAGTGTGCCGATCTCAAGTTGGATGTTCCAGACAAAATCCCGGGACTCAAGCGACCAAACGCGACCCTGTATCTAGAGGGAATCAGAGTGCCAGCCAAAGAGGGCCTCGAATGGATCAGAATGCTTCAGAATTTGGGGACTTCTCTTGCAAACGACCTACGTACTTGAAGTGGCATCACTTAGCCTGAGTTTGGAGGGCAAGACCTATCCAAATCAGAGATTCGTTGGATTCGACGCGAGACATCATGTGACTTGTTTGCTCCGTTCGTTTATGTGACGATCGACGGGATCATTGTTTTTGAGTCCAACGGGCGCCAGATCTGGCAGGAATATGACCTTGCGGGCGGTTGCCTTGCACCCCTTGGCGCTTTGGCACCTCGGCATGAGATGATTCGCACGTCTCAAGCTGTTGCATACCCTCCCGCGGGGGGCGGGGGGGAAAAACAACAACAACGAGGGTGTGTGCCCTGAAGTGCACTGTCATATCTTGCCCTGGTGCCCCTTTCCAAAAGATGTTTATGCACTTTCATTCTAGGAGGGGGGTAGTTGGGGCGACCAAGCAGCCCTTCATACACCTGCTTCGTAGCATACAATCCAAGCTCAACACTGTTACTGCCAACAAGCCACAAACTGGTTTGCAAACTGGAATCGTGACTGGTACTACATACCCGAGTTAAGATGGTCCCGCTCGAATGTCCATTGCAATTTCTTTTTCAGAGACCATCCTGTACCCATGACCAAAGAAGCAAGTCGTTCTTTCTATGCAAGCTATTGAGGTTTGCATCCTCATCACTTCGAGAAGCGACTTGGCTTGACCGCAAGCAGAGGAGTGTGTTTGGGGTTGGTGTTTGTTTTTTATTCTTGCCTGCGCAAGGGTATAGGGTGTTCACCCTGCATTTAAAGGCAGGGTGTTTCTGACAAGCCGGTGTGTTCCATTACAGGTCTAGTCACAATGTGATTTATAGGCGTGGTATCCCCTTGGTCAGCCGAGAGTTGTGAAGGGATTTTCTCTGAATCGGCGTGTGCACAATTGAATTGCATGCGCTACATTGTTGTCCTTGCACTAATACACATACGCAACGCGGTCTTACCAGTTACAAATGAATGGTTACTGCGGTTGGTTCATGTTAAGGCATCATTCTACATGGTTCTAAGTGCGTGTGTTTGTATGTTTGCTCAGATTTCGTGCAGACGGGAAGAAGGAGGGAGACAGGAACGGACGAAAAAGGGGAAGGATGGGAGCCAGGCCAGGAGGGCAAGGAGCGATGTAAGACAAACGCGGGGAACAAGGCAGGAAGGTGCACTGCAGGATGAGGAGAATGCAGCTACTGTAAACGTCAAAGCTTGCCGGCAGAGCAAGCGTTCGGCTACTAGCCATACGATGATCACTTTCTGAACTCCCAGCACCTTGGCTGTTGTTGGGTATGTTGCATGCTGCAACGTGTGGTCTACCAATGTTGGCTTCCGGGCTGAAACCTACGTTGTTGTGCTACTGTGTGTTTTGGGCTGGATCTACACAACAACCTTCACGCCTCGAGGATTATGAATTGCCTGCAAGTACCTCTCACCATGGCCTTTTGCAACAGCCCGGCCCACGAGTTCGTTTCAAGGAAGCCTTGTTGCTGCGGCTAGAAGACTTCCGCTGAGGATGACGACTTCTTAGCGGCGGTTGGCCTGGCAACAGGACAGCAAGCTAGGATGGCATGGTGCGTCAAAGGTAGGGTCTCTCCGTCCAACGGTGGTTTTGAGGCGACGTGACTTTTAGGGTCCGGGTTCCTGGGTTGAACCTGATTCCTTCTTGGTCTTTGAGTCATTTGAGTCCTTCGCTTTCCCTCAGATTCATTGTTGGTGACGCTCCCAGAGGCTTTTTGGGCTTGAGGTAGTTGTCGAACTCAAGTTTAAAAGATGGGATGACTAACCCCAAATGGGTGGAATGCAGCTGTCTATTTTGACGAGAGTGCAAAGACATCAAGGGAAGGGCCTCGTCAGAATGCAAACCACGGGGAGATGACGTGTTTGTGCAGCCCGGGCAAAACGGTTTGGGCCGTTTTGCCAGCCCATTTGAGGTCTCCCTGGACTTGGCACATGCACATATGAGCAAAGGGGGTTGTGATATTGCTCTGGGCATGTTGCAAGAAGCTCTCCAGGGTTGTTCCACCATCATGTTGGCCTAAAGCCCGACTGTTACCCGTTTGATTCTCCCAAGGAAGATGCACAAAAGAACAACTCGGAGCATGTCACTTCCCCGGCATGGACATTTTACATGGCAAGTGCAAGTTCATCCATCGCCACATGTTTCTTGCTGAGGAGCTTCTGGTGTGGCTGTGGACGACGATTTGCTCACTTTCCTAGCTGCTCCCAGAGAATGAACACAGGTCAGTCAACGGTCGGTCACATTCCTCGGGACAACATGTTTGGCTCTTGTGGAATACACCTCGTGTCCTTGTTTGCGTCTCTGGGCAGCGGTGGACTTTAAAGGTTGGCCGGTCAAGCCGGCAGTCGTACGAAGTGCGCAGGGCCGTAAGCCTCTGGGGGATTTGCTGGGTGCTTAAGGAAGCCCTCAATTGGTTTATGTGGTCCATACGAAAGACCCACTTGAGCAAATCAATGCAAATCACCCACAGTCTGGCCATTTTCACAGCATGCACTCGCCCAGGCTTCTCAAGGGAGCCCACAGGTAGGGAGCTTTGGATCATCGATCCCCTAGGCGGTTTCATGTTCATTCAGTTCGCTGGTGAAATCCTGCCGAGTCGCCGCTTGTGGCAAGACTGCTGAGTTGCCTCTTGTGAAAACGGCAGTGTCTGGATGTATCCCCGTTGAAGAGGCCAGCACTAGGTATCAATGTGTATATACATATGTATTAATACATATATACTGGTGTATATATGTATATATATATATATATTCACATATTTCATATTGCATGTCGACTGTGCATGCTTTGGTGCGACCAAGAACCTACACCCAGCTTGTTTGCAATGTGTTGATCGCTGCTTCCCCGAGTATGCGGACATCATTTGGGAGAGAGAAATACAGATATGCATTATGTGTACGTGTATATATATATATATAGATATGGTTGTTCCGCAGAAGCATGTCTACACATTCAGAGGCACAACCAAATGTTATGCATTTGTCTACTTGTTTTCTCACTGTGACATGTGTTGTGCCTTAAAGATGGAGGAACGTGAATTCCAGTTGTGGGCCACTGTTGCATGGTGTTTCTGCCCAATGGAACATGCTTGAGCATCCGTTTCCCACTGACACCTTGCTGACGCTTCAAACCTTCTTTGTGTCACAAGCCTTCAATTCCTCAATGCCACGTGGGGGTTCTTTGAGCTCAAAGTACGCTGAGTGGCGAGCTCGCCGCGTGCTGGCAGGGGCTACGGCAGAAAAGCTGCCGAGGCCCAGGACCGCTCTTTGATTAGAAAAGGCGCCTTGCGCGGAGGTGGGTATAGGCATCTAAGGGTTTTTGTATTACTCCCTGGAAATACACCCACTGGGTATTGACCCCGTGTAATCCCAGGGTGCAACAGTTAGGACTTTTTTGGGCCATCCACTGAGGAAGTAAGAAATAGTCTTTGGATAGGAGACGGCTGGATTGGCTCTTTGCAACAGTTCAATTGAGTTGACCAGATTGAGGACAATTTTAGCTGACTTGCCTTTCTAAAGGAGAACGCAGCTGAGAATGTGTCTCCGGACACTGTTTCAGTTGCTTGTACCAGCTCGTTCGTGACTGCCGGTTTGACAGTATATGGAACATTGCGACAACCCCTGGTATGAATCGATCCCTGGCCAGACTTGTATTCGTGTGCAGGCCCGCGCGTAGATTTCAATTATATGTTTGTTGATCCCTGTCGAACTGTCTTGCTGGTGCTCAGCAGGGAGTGAGAAAGGGAATGACCCCAAGAAAAAGCATCCCTGGTGATTCCTTTATTCGGGAAACCCAAAACGGTTCATTCCGTTTCGCATTTCTACTGCACCAGCAAGTTGTGCCCCAGGTCAGTGTCGACATCGCGGCGAGCCTCAGATGCGCGCTGGATATGCCCAGAAGCAGAAGAGTGTCAATCGTGGCTCGTTTCATAGCATATAGTCATATAGATATATCTCTTGTTGGGAAACCGAAAGGACAACCGCCAATTTGTTCGGGGGGGGGGAAGATTCGGAAGAGGGTCAATCTTGGCTGTGTGTTTGATAACATATGGATCTCTTTTCGAGGCTGCTTCTTTTTGGATGGTTTTAAAGCACCATTCGTTGTTTTTTTGGGGGGTCACCCATATACGTATATGGACTGAATCGCAACTGCATAGTTCGTTGACCAATTCTACATCCATGGGATATGAGCAACCACACTTCACTCAAAGTACAAGTCCCCAGATTGGCCGTTCAAAAGAAGCAGCCCGGAGCTGAACGCACGCGACATCTTGACCCATGACAGCTATCAACCTCATGGCATCAGGTTTTCTACACAGATGCGTGCCGAACCAAAGCCATTTTTGTCGAAATGTATAACCAGGCGGGTGGGATCAAATTTGATGCTTAGGGCAACACTTTACAGGCGGCGACCTTCCTAGCTTACCAGATGGCAAGCAGCTGCAAAACTCGCAAGAAACTCCGAAGACCTCAGTTTGGCGCCGGTTGAGCAGCCTGAATCGGCATGTGGGATCCTCAACTGGTGTATGAACTGCCTATGGGTTTACACCAGTTGCAGATCCCACATACCGATTCAGGCTGCTCAACCAGCGCCAAACTAGCATGCACACAGGATCTGAGCATATTACCCGTGAAAGTGAATTGATATAGTTCACAGACAGCAATGCGCAGCCCAACTTACCCACAACAATGCCAGTCTCCTCAGCTTCAGAAGTGGCACACATGCTAACCTGATGTGACTTGTCGGCTTCCGCATTCCTTGCCTACACATCGCCGCGCAGCATTACAGCTCAAAGAGTCCAAGCACATGTGCAGCTATGTGCAAGGACTTGTGCTGGCCTCAGGCTTGACATAGCTGCACATGGTAAGAGCGTTCGCTGGAACTTCGGAGAGCTGGTTTGTAACATAAGGCAGCTTTTTGTGTGATCCCAACCGTCAACCGTTAAACACTTTCAGTCTGCCTGATCTTCAACGATAGTGGCTATTGCGGTTGGAGGCTGTCTCATCCTGCAGGTATGGCAATGCTGGGAGAATGAAACCTACCTTGGGTCGACCCCTTTTGAGTGCCAGTTGGAAGAAGTTCTCTTGCGCTTTTACCCTGCGCTCTCCAATCTGCGCTGATCTGGTCAGGTGCCCCAAGGTGGGACCCCAAAGACGGCCACCCTGGGCCCGGGCCTTCGGAACTGACGCCTTGAGGGAGCCTTCGGACCTCGTCGCGCGATGCACCCAGCTGGCGGACGCCACCGTGGTGGGCCTGCGATTCAGCGGCTTGGCCTCGGGACATGGAACTCCCGAAGCGCCAAAACCGCCGTTCGCAGGTCCGCGCGTGAGGTTTTTGGTAGCGAGGTGTCGTTTTCCACGCGAGCAAGAAAAAACGGGTTTTAAGAAGGATGTCAGAAAGGCAATAGGAACATCGCTCTGGCTAGGCTTTTGTTTGAAGATGAAGGCCGCTGGAGAAGTCGGGAGATCCTTTGACCACCTTCAACCGTCCGAATGCCGGGCAATTGTGCGAGCCCTTGGTTTCCCGAACTTGTTGGTAAGGCAGGTGATGCGATGCACACGGTTTTGAGGAAAACACGTGATCCATTCAGTAGAGATTCACCAGGCCTGATGTGCGTATCAGTTGCCCAGCCTCCCAAGCCCAATCAACTTTGGGTGGTCAAGTTTTGAGACGGAACTCAGCAAGGGCTTGGACATCATAATTCCTAAAATTTAAAATGTCGGGCCATGCTTTGAACAATCCGAAACATACAGGTGTGAGGCACGCAAGAGTGTGTTTGGCTGTGGTTGGGCGACGTGGGCATCAGGCGACGTACTTCCGTCTCGCTTGGCCTAACACAACCAAGGGATCATTTACAATAGACCGGCCAGACCAGATTCCGCGAAAAGAAGTGCTTGAGACATTTGCACAGAGGAAGTGTGGCTTTTCGCAGCGGAAAGAACTTCATTCACAATCCCCGGTGTTATTATCAAACAACACGAATGCCACTTGCCCCCGTGACAATGACGGATTCCTGTCGCAGAGAGCAAGTGGTCACTCGTCCGATTGAAGAGGTTGGCGGTGACAGCTCCAGGCATGAACACCACTTGAGATTTGGCAGCGAACGCGTGTGTTTTACTTGGACTATCGCTTGCATATTTCCAAGAGACTTGAAAAAGACATATGGAGGGTAGGCATGCAATCATTTACACTGAACTTGCAGGAGAGAAGGCAGACATGGATCCTGAAGCACTGCACAGCAGTCAGAACGGACAAATAAACCCCAGAATCTGCAACTTCAAAGTGGATATCACAGACATTGGAGAGAGTCTGGAAAGCCTCCCCCACCCCCCCCCCCCCTCCCCCCCGGCCCCCCGCGTGTCTTCTCCAAGTGGGTGATGGCACCAGCAACGGTCTCGTCGTGAGGCCCTGATCACGCAGCGCGTGCCAAGATCCCTCCGGTGCGATTCCACTTCGTGGCTCGGCTGACGGCTGTGTTTCCGGTTGCTCAGTCGGGCCTTCCGCTTGGAAACCTCAAGGGCTTCCGGTCGCCCTGTGCTTGGAGTAAGTCATACAGTTTGATTTCAGCGGGATTGATGTACTGCAGAAGGAACAATCCCCTTGGAAATGGGTCATCCCTAGGGAGACACCACCCAACGGATTTGATGTGACCAGCTGAGAGTCCTTGTGCAGCCATTGCCGCCCATCAGGACACAGGAGGAATAGACGGCCTGATCGGTGCAATACTGCATAAGCATCAACCACCTTAAATAATTGGGTTGTTCAATCGCCATGCTTTATCTCGCCAGCATTCCCCATTTCCAGACAACGTCCTACGAGGATTTTGGATTGTTGGCCAAGCCCATTTGGAACAGCCCAGAGGAAGCATTGTCATTTAATTGACTCCATTCAGAATCCATGAATCACCTCCGCCTACTGAGGGTGACTTCTGAGAGTTTTGAGGGCGTTCCCCATTCTTTCCAGGGATCCTTCTTTTCAGGAAACCATCCAAACCCAGGGGAATTCGCGATGGGTTTTTGAAAAGAACGATGGTTGAAAAGAATGGACAAGGAATGAAGCCCTAGAACATCGATTTCGGCCGTTAAAGAGGTGTGCTCGATTTCGTGCGAGCGATTGTCGCTCCGTGTCACCAGGTGCTAGACAATAGCGGCAGCATGGGCAACAACTCCCTTGTCGCCAAGGACGCAGTGGCCGTCGCGCGCTTGGTTTGTGGTCAAATCTTTGGCTCCCTGAAGAGCAGTAAGCTTGAAGCAGGTGTCAAAATGCGGGCACCCAAAACATAGTTGGACTTGGAAGCTGTTCCTGGCGTATATATATATATTATTCATGATTCCTTACTTCAATCTTGCGAAGCATACAACTCGCTGCGAGGTGAGTGTGTGTGTGTGTTACTTGAAGCCGTCGAAAGTCCTTCATGCAAGTTAGCCCTGTTCACAAGGCAAGCTTCCTCCTTGACTGCTGGCACATCAAGTTTGGGGACCGGCAAGGGAAAGCAAACTACTGTGCAATTTAGGCGTCGAGCAAATCAATATGTCTATGTGTTTGGAATTCCGTTCACGGATCCCAACAATCGACCTGGCTCAACTAGTTGTGGCACACCTTCAATGAGGGGCTCGCCGAGCAGTGTGGCTCCCATGAACCAAACGGAAACCGCCGGCAAAAAGCGGGGGTTCCCTGCATCCAGTGAGCCGCAGGAGCGCTTTGCCGACTTGGCCTCGGTAGCCACGCCCCACGGCAAACCAACGGTCTCAGCTCGGTAGGGCATGCGCTTCCGGCCTTTGGTGCTTGTTGTGTTGTGTTTGGGGGGATGAATGGGTAGATGAACAGTGATCTTGGGTTTGTCATAGAAGGCGTGATGGGCAAAGAGGCTGAAGAGGATTATGATGGTAGATGAACTCATCAGGATTAAGATGGTACCCAAAACCTTCCTGATTAGATGCGGTCATCCCTCAACGTGCTTGACTAAAGTCGCACAAGTTGATGGCTTTCCTTTTAACTGGATCCTGCACACAATTGAAACCAGCCCCAAACAAGAAATGGGTCATGCTTTGCAACTTGAATCTTCCAGCCACAGGTTGCAACTTTAGACAGACACAGTCCTTGTTCCGCGCAACAAATCCGCACAACAAATCCCTAGGCTCCCCAGAAGCAGGTTTTCCAGCTTGGATTTGTGTACCAGGTTCATCCGAAGCCTCTGGATCGGATGAAAGGGAGCCTCAGAGAGTTATCCCCTCATTCCCGCATTCCCTGAGAACCAGCAAGTCCAAGTGATCCCCTTGCTCCGTTTTCCTCCATGAAAGGAGATCATCAGGTTTCCAGAAAATCCCAGTTGAATACCTCAGCTGAGAAGCAAGTTTGGTTCCCTAGGTCTGCCTTTTTGGTCTTCCCCTGTACCCAAACATTTGCTGAACACTTCCAACCAAAGTCCCCCGAAAGACCAGTTGCCCTCGTTTCCTGGCTCAACCCTCAACCCTGGCTTTCCAACCCATGGTTTCCTGTTTGTTTGCTGTAGGGTTCCCCTGCAGCCCCACGGGTTTTCCCAGCCCGTAGAGGTAGGAAACATGGGGTGACCGGAGCCCCTTTTGATCAAGGACAGGAGTGAAAAGCGCGGCCTGCGCATAGCAAGGGTTATGAGCCCAAACGGTCTGGTCTTCGCCTGAGTGCCATGGCAGCACTTTTGAGGAGGCGGAGGTTGCAAAGCGTGGAGGGCATCATGGTCGCCAAGCCGGAGGGCGAGATCGAAGAAATCCCGGAGGAGGAGAATCCAAGAGCCGGGGGAGTTTGTGAAAGGCGAGATGCCAGGAGGAAGGCCGGGTAAAGCCGGCGAGCACAGAGTCGGGGAAGCACGGGTGGATGTAAATCCTTTCTGGAGCCAACGAGCACATCTGCAGGCAATGAGGCCGGAAGACCTGCCCGAGGTCCCTGCATCCGAGAAGTCGAAGATGGTCGAGATCACGAAAGATCGATGGAGATGGGGGCCCTCATGCGGGATATCTTCCTGGGCATGGTCGGGCAGCGAAGCGAGTTCTGGAGCGAGCTCAAGAGAGAGATCTCATGGCGGACCTGGAAGGCGCAAGGATGGCAAATGGTAGAGAAGATCAGCCGGAACCTGGAGCTGAGTCTCTACAAGAAGAACACGAGGGACTGCCAGATCTAAGAGGAGAAGGAGTGGTCGGGCATGTTAGGAGGTGGTGGTGCTCTTCGACACGATCATGGAGCTCTACGGGGTGATGGGCTCGATGCTCAGCAGCGAGAGCAACGGGAAGCAAGGTTTAGATACTGGCAGAACAGAGAAGGAGGTTTTGGACCTTGTGGTCGAGCCCTACGGCCTGGTGAAGATGGTGCTCGAGGGCATGGACGAGAGGATCCAGAGCTTCGGGATCAACGATTGTGGGAAGAAGCGTGCCGAGAAGAGCGATTTCGGGAGAACCCTGACAAGGACCAGAAGTGCCAGGAGGAGGTGGGAGGAGCAGCAGAGATCTTCCACTGAACCTGGATTGGATCTGGGACGATGAGAGAAAGGTTAATTTCCGGAGCGACCCAGGCAACGTGATGAAGAGCTGATTGGAGAAATGGATCTTGGTGAAGAAATGGAGATGAACTTCATGAAGAGTCTGAATTGGGCCAAACTGGGGCTGGTTTTGCTGAGACAGAGCGCAAATGAGCTAAGCGTCAGTCAGTGTGTCACGACCCCGCGCCAACTTCCACCAAGTGAGTCAGAAGCGTTGAACAACAGCGCTGGGCATGTGAGCGTCACCTAGCATCGCGTCACAAAGATTTTCCTGTTCTATTGCAGAGTTCAATTTGGTTCTTTCATGTTTTTCCTCCCCCAACCTTGGTTGAGTTAGTAGGAAGGGTGTCGCTGTCTAAACACAGCACAGAGCTTGTGGTCTTTGCCAGCTCTTCATGGGTTCGCCAAACTTGCTTGATTTAATTGGAAAGGGTGGTTCGCAAAGACTTGGTTGCGACCGGCCCCGTAGCGCGGCGGCTCGAACTTTTGGAGTGCACCGTCATGCGCGCTCGCTCGCGGACCCCGCCGCCGGGGATGCGCCGGCTGGCTGCTTGGCTCGCATTGACACACGATTGTTGCTTCCTAACCGGACAGCTCAGAACGCCGTGCTGAACCTGTCTCCGCTGACCCGGTCGCAGCCAGAAGGAAGAGCCACTCAACTTTGCCCGCCTGATCTTGAATCAGGTCCAGAACATGCTGGCCAACCCGGCGCTCAGCGCTACCCGGTTATTGCGTGCCACGCCATTCTGACCGTCATGCAGGAAGCCCTCAAACAGCTCGGCGAGGATGAATACGATGTTGGTTTTTGGAGAACTTCAAAAACTCTTGAGCGTGAGCAAAGCTCGCGCGGCCCACAAAAACGTGGCCGTCACGGGGGTTGGAGAGGAAAACGAGTGCTTTGATGAGTTCGTCTTTCAGTTTCAGCCAGTTTGCTTGATCTCGTTTTTGTTCACATGCGGCTCTAGAACGACCCCTGTCACCGGTGGATGAGCTCAGCGATGATGAGCTCGGGCCCAAGTGTCCTCACTCTCACGTCACAGCACAGTGTGCTAAACTTAGTCAAGACTCCGACCACGAGATGATGGAGGAGTGCCAGGACAACATGTTTTTGGCCACCGTGTTTTGGAGTTACCGTGTTTTTAGGTCACCGCAAATTGCAAGAGTCGGGTGGCGCCAAGGTGCCGAAACATGGCCAGCTCTGCAACCAGCCCATCAAGCCCTTCACACCCGTCTACTGGCCTCAGGAAGAGTGGCCAAAGCTAAGCATGAAACTTGTGGCATTCAAGCCCAAAAAGTCTGCAAAGCTTCCAAAGAAGGGAAAGCTGGTGGACAAGAGCGTCACAATGTCTTGCTTCGGAACCCTAGCATGAGTTGCCTTTGCGTCGCAGCCTTCCTTTTCGCTACTGAGGATGCTTCACTGCCACCACCCAAAGCTTGCGCAACCCATTTGAGCGTGCGCAACTAACGAGACCGCATCTGCATTTGCTTTTGTTGATGGGCTTCAATGTTTGAGCGCCGGAGCTGGCTGGACTGCGCCACCCAAATCTACTTTTGGGACGAGTGTCGGCGGGCGTGCCGATTGACATCCTCCCCGTTGGGGATGTACCTGAATCCGGTTGTTGCAGAGCACATGTCAGGCAAGTTTGGTTTCTGTCATTGCGTACGCTGCTTGTGGCAGGTTTGGTGGGGCACGGAGCTGTGATGATGGTCACGTGCGAACAAACAAAACTCATTTGCTTTTTGCCAGGACAGCAGGCATGTGGTCTGCAGCCTCTTCTCGGGTGTGGCTGGCCTTGAGTTGGGTCTCAGTGAGCGGGAGCTCATTGATCTGGCCTACTCCAACCCGAAAAACTGCTTTTGCTTCGCAAGGCTGGTTCGGCCCTGCTGCTTTGCCCTGCGCTTAGATCCGGAATTGTTGCAAACACAAAAGTGCAAATTCGCAAACGCACAGTGCCCAGGTTGAAAGCCCCGAGTTCTGCCGGTCTGTCCGGCGCAGGAGGCAACACGACGGTCTGCTGCTGAAGGTCCAGATCTTCCACAACGTTGTTGAATTCAAGCCTCAGCGCGACGTGCCGGGCGTTGAGATTTGCGGCCTCACCGCAGGGTTCCCGTGCCAGGCAAGCTTCCCTTGACACTCCCTTCATTCAAGCTCTCACTGAATTTTGGCAGGGGATATCGCGAGCTGGGTGTCAGCAGGGACTGAGTGATCCCAAAATTGGTTTGGTGAAAGAGCTGTGGCGCTTGTGGGATTCAACGCCTATGCCGGGTCCTGAGTCTTGCCTAAGGAAAACAGAACCTTGAAAACCGTGATATTTAAAGCGCGGGCAGTTCATGCTTCTGGAGAACGTGGGGAACTTGCTGAGTGAGAAAATGACGGATGTAGTTGATTGCCTGGTGGAGGCAAACCGGTCCTGTGCTCACTCGTCGCTTGAAAATCGGTTTCGTATCCGTCGCAGGAAACAAGGAAAAGATAGCTGACGATGAAGTGGACTACTGTTACTGGACACATGGTGTCTGCGCCAGCCGGGTGCTTGGCGCACAGGGGCAATAAACATGTGGCATGTTGGTGCCTGAAGGTGTGGAGGCAACGGGTCTTCATTTGGTGGCTCGCCCGGGGTTTGAGTTGGCAAAGGCTGGTTTCTCGTCGCATTGGACAGGGTCCCCAGCAAAATATGCGGGCCAGACAAAATTCTGCAAACACCAGGTTGTGTAAGAACCCCAGATCGAAACGCCCTGAAGGGAGCTTTTTCGTCAATCAGGGTCCTGGAAAGAGCGCCCACATGCATACAAGCGCGACCCAGAACTGAGTGAGTGGCTGGTGGTGAACAAACGGTCAAAGACGCGAAGTAACATAACCCGCAAAGAAACGAAATAGGACTGGTGTTGGGTGAGTGACAGGGCCAAGGATTGGCCGAATGGCTTCGCTACTGAACGAACGAGACAATGCCTGAATGTTTGTGCTTTGTGCTTGAGGGATTCTTGCATGAACCGTGAACTGAACGAAACGAAATACAATGCTTGTCGGAAATAGTGCGAGTGAGTGAGCGAGCGAGCGGGTGAGTGGCTGAGCAAGTAAGTGCGTGTGAGCGTGCGTGCGTGCGTGAGTGAGTGAGCAAGCGCGTGAGTGGCATAAGCGAACAAGTCAAACGGGCGGATCAGTTTGTTCTTTCTGGGCGTTTTTGTCGTCGCTCTATCACTTGTTCACTCTTGCAATT